TATATATATATATATATATATATATATATATATATATATATATATATATATATATATATATATATATATATATATATATATATATAGGGTTTGGGTCTGGTTCGATCAAGTGTATATTGGATTCGGATGGAGATACAAGAGGAACACAGGGATATTTTTGTCTTTATATGCATATCATGATCATCATGTCAGTGGCATGTGGAAGAAGCACATCACGGATGGATCCAAGTTGAACTCAACAGGGACGTGTTACCTATTACGCTGCAATTTATCGGTTTCTTTCAGACGCTGCCGGCGGCCGATCACCTGAGAGACCCAGCGGAGGCGAGGAGGGAGAAAAGGGGAGGGGAGAAGAGGAGAGGAGAGAGAGAGATGGTAAACTCATCGGTGGTGAACATGTACCCACTATCGAACTACACGTTCGGCACGAAGGAGGCGAAGATGGAGAAGGACACGTCCGTCGCTGATCGCTTGGCCCGGATGAAGGTCAAGTAAGTCCTCCGTCTTCACCTCGGAAACATCTCTTGTTTTAACTCCTATTCTTTTATCCACGTATCGTCGTCAATGGGTGAAACCCTCATCAAAAAGAGTTTTTCCCCTTTATTCGAGGCTTTTCTGTTGTTCCTGTTCCCTCGATAATGACTTATTTTCCCAGTTTGATGATTGATAAAGATTGGATCTTGACCGATTATATGTATAGTTGCTTTGAGATGATGATCGCAGCCAAAAACGCCTGTTTTGTGTGAGGAAATAGTAACCGCCTTCTTTTCGGTTTTATCTTGACATTACGCTTGGTACTTTGAAGTTGTTTGGAGTTGGAGTTGGTTTCGTCTCTTGTTGGGGACATCGCTTGATGCATCCGGTGCTTAGTTATTTGAAGTCATTCTAATCTGGGTTGTATACAGAACAGCAACGAAGGTGGCGAAGATAAAGGGGAAATTTATGATTGAACTTGTTAAGACCTACAGTGCGAACCTCTTGTAGTGACATTCCACAATCTGCAAGCTTTGGTTTTTCCAAATCTCAATCGAGTGCCTCAAGTACTGATTGATGACTTTTTTCCTTGAAATTATTCATTAGTAAAAGAGCCAATGCTTATGATGAATTTTGATGCATCTGATGTTGTATGTTTCTTTTAGAGAATTTTAAAGTTTGCTCTGGTGAAAGGCTTCCGTGTGTTGGTTTTTCTCACTCTGATCTACACATTTCTGCTTCTTATTTATGAGAGTTTATTACAAACTTATATCTTGATTGGCTTGTTTTTCTTTTCCTTCCTTTTGTGTTCAGCTATATGAAGGAAGGAATGCGGACAAGTGTTGAGGGTATTCTACTGGTAACAATCCACACGTAGCACATTTACTTATTGTTAACATTTAAAAAAAAAATTCCCCAGGACAATAGTTTTTATCGTTTATTTACTTTGTTTGATAACTAAGCTGAATGCCCGAGATCCCATGATGCTCGGATAGTAGCTTGTGTTAAGAGTAAAGACTATGATACCTGTATCTGAAAAGAATTTTTGGATTCTGAATTCAGCTCCTGGAATCCTGATCTCCCTTCTTTTGATGATGATATGCCTATTGAACATTTGATAATTAAAAAATAATGCCACAACTATCATAGCCATCAAACTTCTTTCATCTTTGGCCATCTGTTTTAGGTGCAAAAATGAATAAGTCGAGTAGATGTCATTTCAGTATCTACTTAGATCTAAATTATATGAAGCTTTTTTTGTAGCCAATTGGTAGTTAGAGTTACAATCTCAAATGGAATTAGTAAATTCATGTTACAAATTCCTTACAAGGTTGAAGGCTTTAAGAATGCACGAAGGTCATTTTCAGCCCCTGAACACAATTCTATTTTAAACATGTTTTATTGAGTTTGACATTGATTTTACTCTCTTGCTGACACCACATTGATAAGAGAATCCATGGATCTGAATGATGCAGGCAAATGATTTTGTTCTTTATGTTTCACTTGCGTCCCTGCTTTTCTATTGAATTTTGTTGTCCGTTGCTGATTTTACCTATGCTTTTGTGAGAAACATTTTTAGAATGTTGACATTAATAAAAAAAATTCTTTCCAGAAATGAGAATCTTACACTAGTACTGAACTAGTGTTGCAGCTACTAGCATAGTAGTGGTTTGACCTTTGTGGTAGTCCATAGAATGAAGTTTTTTCTATTCTAGGAATTTACTTCACCAGTATTTTTAACTCATTGATCACAGAGTATGTCATTTTTAAAAATAGTCCTATCTTGTCCCACAAAAAGCTTTCCCAATCCACCACAAGATGGTAATGTTAATTACTAAGATATCAAATAACATAAAAAGTCAGGTTAGATCTTTAATGAGCACATTGACATCTATAAGCTTTAACTCCCTCAAAACCAATCTGACACCAACCTGAAAGATTCTAGATCTGCACTCCCACCGATAATCTTGAATCTGGCCAACTTATTGGTAATAGGTTTGGATGTAACTGTGGTCATCATGCAGGTTCAGGAGCACAATCATCCCCATATACTGTTACTGCAAATAGGAAATACATTTTGTAAGCTCCCTGGTGGACGTTTAAAGCCTGGAGAGAACGGTATGTTCTTGTGTATCTGAAAATGATTTGAATCCATCGGCTTATTGACTTGTGTGTCTGGCTAAATTGACAGAGATTGAAGGTCTGAGGCGAAAGCTTTGTAGCAAACTTGCTGCAAATTCACCTTCATTTCAACCGAACTGGCAGGTATTTCACTGGATTTAGCTTCTTTTTATGTCCATTGCTTGCTACTTTCTGTACTTAATGTGTTATATGCTTGAAATAGTTTTAAAATATGAGCAAATTTGCACAATTTATTGTGTAGCATTACCCTACATACCTAATCATAGTAACAGGAAAGAAGGATGCAGGAAAATACACCATGTGATCTGCTGTATGTTTTGACCTCTACCTTGCACCGATCTCAACTTATTCCATATTGTTAGAGATGTTTATATAGTTACAGTGCATCATCTCATTTATCTCTGAAAAAATGAAACATGTTGGACAATTATTTGTACATCTTTTGTGATATGTAATTAGTTCCACTTGCCTTGTCCATTTGTTAATATATATTTATATTGTAGTATCATCTCTGATATTTTATGTGATCTGAATCATAAAGCTTTTTGGAAATCCATACTCCAATGCTTTGAATTGTTTCATATCTTTCGACCAATATAATTGTGATGAGATTACCCCTTCCACTACATTATCTTTATTGTTGTTGAATCATTCTGAAGTACACATTTGATTATGTACCATATGATGAAAGGGGTGTGATCCAGGTTCTATTTTATACTAACTTGCAGATTGGTGAGTGTGTTGCCATTTGGTGGAGACCCAATTTTGAAACTGTTATGTATCCATATTGTCCTCCTCATATTACCAAGCCCAAGGTCAGTTGCTTTATAGTCTAAAAAGATCAAATGATATTTTTAGATGATGATCAATTTCTCTTTCTGTTTTTCTAAAATAATTTTCTGACACAGGAGTGTAAGAAGCTTTTCCTCGTTCATCTGTCAGAAAGAGAATATTTTGCTGTTCCAAAAAATTTGAAGTTGCTTGCTGTTCCCTTATTTGAACTCTATGACAATGTTCAGGTATCAGCAGTTCCATTTGCAGTTTAAATTGTGTGCGTTTGGGAGAAGTGGTTAAAAGCTGGCATTTTGGCGTTTACCGACTCATTGTTGTCCATTATGAAATCTTTTAATTCCTACATATGATTGTATGTTTGTACATTTTGTTATGTTAGCTTTTTAGTGTTATTTCCTTCAAGAATCATATGATTCTGAGCTACTAAACTTAAACCAAAACAGTTACCAGTCCCAAGTTGTGATCTTCAGAACATAACCTTTTGTTTTATTAATGTTTTTTACTTCTACATGGTGGAAAATCTCAGTCATATTTGCTTTTGTTTTGTTATTAGTGATTTGAATTTGTTAAACATGAATCTGTATAAACATTACTTTTGAAATTCATGCAGAGATATGGTCCTGTTATCTCGACCATCCCACAACAGTTGTCGAGATTCCAGTTCAACATGGTCTCCTCATGAAGCTGATGCGAACAAATTATGAAACATAATTCTTCAGCAATGGAGTCAAATTGATGTTAATGCAGTCGCAAAATTCTGAAGTGAACCCATCCCGACCCTGCCCTTTACATAAGACTCTGAATCATCATGTATATTTGACATTTACTCATATGAACACGAAACACGAGTCATCTATAATTAACTTCTAACTCATGTTTTCTGTATTGATGTCCTGAGGCTTGGTACAAGTGGGAGAAAACAAGAGGTTTTATTTGAATGCTGAGAAAATTGTACATGTTGGAATGGAGCTGCTTGATCATGATCCTGGTGCTCATCTCAAAAACAAGTATGCAATGATCTGAATGAATCAGAGACAGCCATATTCCATGTTGAGATTATGGATTTCTGCTCATACTACCGGGGGTGGATGATTGTGCTTGCCTTGGTTTATATCGCAGTTGTCTCATTTTGAATAAATTTGGTCTTCACTCTGTCTGAGTTATTGATTACTAAGGCTAGACACACAACCTTGACTAAAAATCTTCTGTTCTGGGATTGTCAACAGGTGATCATGATTTCAGAACCATCGATTTCGATTTTATATATTTCGGTGATTCCGATTTTGATTTTATATATTTCGGTGATTTCGGTGGTTACAATTTCATAATTGGAACCAGCGGTTAATATTCCTTCAGTTTTGATTCAATTTATCGATTTCAATTGATAAAAAAATTATCTCCTCGAGATGAGATTCAAACCCATGTCATTACACTTCATGTTTGGAGTATTAACCACTACATCATACCATCAATTCATATTTTAATTTTCTATTTTTCATATTTAGTCAATCAGAAACTATTAATTGGTTCGGTTTTGATTCCCGATCGCCCTTCGTCTTCTCCTCCTTCCTCCTCGTCTCCCCCTTCCCTTCCTTTCCCTTCCCTCATGGATGACGGGTGGATGATGGACGACAACGGGCGATGGTGGAGGTGGGCACCCCTCCGAAAGAGCGACGAGCGACATCGACAGAATATTCATTTTTAGAAAGAAAAAAGATTCTGTTTAATATTTTTTTAAGTTGAAGCGTTATTCGAAATTTTTTTAAAAAGTAACAAGAATTTGTTACTTTTACGTTATTCGAAAGTAAACGAAGACAACGTGCCGCTTTTGCGTTCTCTCTCCCTCCTTCGCTCCTTCAGAATTCGTCGTCCCGGCACCGCCAACGAACGGCCAACAGGAGAGGCGGCAACCAAAGAGCAGCGATTTGCTGTAGGGGTCGGCGGCGCGGGTAATGTTCTTCTTCTTCTTCTTCTTCTTTGATCGCTGGAGGGAATCCGTAGGATCTCTCGGGTCTAATTTCCGGCCGATCGTAGCCAAGCGCTTCATGGAAACAAGATCGGAACCCGCTGATTCGGATCCGGATCTGAGTTGGGCCGCGATCGTCCCATCTGGCGAATTCTGGGCACGATCTTGTATTATTAGCGATTGATTAAAAGTAGATGACGTCTTTTTTTATTTAATTTCAAGATCACTCTGAATAGTTGTAAGTTTTGTTGCTTAGGGTTTCGCAGGGTGGTTTGGTTCGTATTCACCCATCATAATTTGGTAGGCTTTTTGTTGGTTGTGATGCGAATTGTGTGTTTGAAAGCTCGTCAGTTATATAAATTTGATGGATTCCTGAAAAGGAGCCAAAAAATTTTATATGGATGCGATTTAATTCTTTTCAATAGTTCCTCTTCGTTCGATGTATAGGATAGTCGCTCTGGAGATTTGACTTTGATTCCAAAAATCTGACACTAGATAGTAGATTGTTAGATTTGATTTCTATCTCAATTCCAAGCATTTTATTTTTTATATTGGTTAGAGGTGTAATCGATTGATAATTGTTGGCTCTAAGTTTTATTACACGTTAAGAAGCTCCTTGATTACTGATCCTTTGTTGTTTCTAATATCGGGCAGGTCTTCACTAGGAGTTGCTTGAGATGGCAGGGAGAACTCAGATCCCGACCAAGAACTCTGCCCTTATAGCTATGATTGCTGATGAGGTAAACATAGTTTTGTTGTTTGGTAAATATATGATACGCAACACTTTGCTAATGCCATATTATTTTGATGTTTTTAAATGAGAAAATGAAAACAATTAATTGTGAAATTCAGAAAGGGGATGGCTAAGATTAGTTAGTAGGATTCCAAAACATCTAGTTACTTGTTGACAGAGACGAATTGCAGATTGGGAACCAAGTTATTGAACTTAGTTTTGAATATTTTTTCCTATATATTCATCTTGAAAATATTGAAATGTATTAGCATGAGTGCATTCAGACAGTTTATTTCTGACTTCTGAGCATCATAGGTTTGTTGTCTTGTACTACAAAGTAAAAAAGAGAAGGTTTCTTCAGTATGCCATAGAATGAGGCATGTATTTTTATCATATTAATGCGTTTAAATTTTCCAAGTTGATCACACCATGCTTAGCAGTGGGCCATTATTTTCTTGCATGAACCAGTCAGTAAGCCCCATCTGGGGTAATTGTGTGATTTCACTTGGTAATATCTTCCATGCAGAATTATATGGTGGTGTTAAAAGGATGACAAGTTGCTAATTTATTTGTAATCATCATACAAACTGTTCATGGTACCATTGTGTCAAGTAGCTGACCAGTATTGGACCATATGGTTTGGTACTGGTCATTATTTTATTTTGATTTTCGGGTGATCCTGGGTGGTACATGGCAGCATACTTCCTGATCTACTAGTATTATACAGGGTTGTATACTGTCCAGTAATATTACTAAGATCAGTACTGGACTGAGATTTAAATCCTTCGTAATAGTAATACTATATATTTTATACACATTTGCAAATATAAAGCTAATCAGATGCTATCTGATGCTTTGTGGTACAAGGACACTGTTACTGGATTTTTGCTGGCTGGAGTTGGCAATGTTGATTTACGGAGAAAGACAAATTACCTTATCGTGGACTCAAGTATGTTTATGAATTCAGTAGATTAGATTTGCTTTTCTGATCATTTTTTTTTATGGCTACATGGAACACTGTAATGCTAGAATTTGTACTTCAGATGACTTTTTCATATGGTCATATTTTTATTACTGACCATTTTTTGATTTAAGACTATAAAAAGCACTTTATGAATAGTTGAATATAGCTAGTTGATCTTTGGTTGTAAAAAAAAAACTAAAAGAGTCTTAAAACATGCTGTCCATACTCTATATTAGGGGATATTTTACCAATCCAAAAACAAAATGACAAACATGGCAGGACAAAGCCGTCCCATGAACTAAATTTCTTTCTGCCTGACCTTTCATACTCGAGAATGAGCTAATCCTGGTTCCAGCTCATTTGTCTTCACATCTTTAGGCTTGTGGGGACCCCTACAAACATCAACATGGGCCCATCCAGTCCTAGTTTTTGGCTTCTCTTAATCAGGCCCTTAATGATAAGACTACCTGAAAAATTGAACTGTAGCTGAGACTTTGGGACTTGGTTTGGTTCAACTTTTATGTGTAATTGGCTTGTTGACATCGTACAAGTATAAATTGACATGGTGATGGATATTGTCTCTGGTCTGTATTCCAAGGACTTCGCGGGTGATATCATATCAATCAGCTGAACACAAACATACTTTTTAGAGAGTTGTTTCAGTTTGATGAGTGGTAGAGTTTTCTGATAAGGTGAATGAAGATGCCTAAGGTGTCATGTGATGAACAGATTCATCTGTTATGTGAGTATTAATGCCATAAGTGACTTATTAAAATGCTACCAGAAGTTGATGACATTGAATATGATGTGACAATGTGTTGAGAATTTTATTCTAAGCAAGTGGTATCCATGACAATTAAGAACACAATGGTGGAACATTTACTAGTATGCAGGGCTTGTGGAACAAGATCTGGGATCTATTCTTTTAGCAGATGAGAAGCATTGATTTTTCACTTGAGTCAGGAAAAAATAAAAAGGGGCATCAAAAAATAATTTTGATTTGTTTCATTTGGAACAATTACAGATAATGTCCTGGACTATTAGTTGCAAGTGACTGATGAAGTTAATTCTAAATAGTCGAAAAAGGCTTGTCGGTCACATACATCTTTACCTTTCGATATGTCAATAGCAAGTAATAAAAATGTACCATACGCTGTCAGTGCATTGTAGATATGTAGTGCATATGGTATAACTAAACATAGCAATGATTCATTTATTGACCACAAATATACTGTTTGTTTCTGTAATTACCATATGTTGTTTGTCACAAGAGATACACAGTTTGAATCAACAGCACTTGCAGAATGCCACTGGCATCAGATATGATCATTATACATTGTTATTGATGGACATATTGCGTACCTGATTGTTTAATGGATGATAATGTTGCTGACTTGTACAAATTGCAAGTTCTGGATTTGTTGTGGAAGAGTGTCTGAGCAAGCATGCTATACTTATCTGACTTAGTAGATACTAGATAGTATAATCTTTGTCAGTTTTCTTCTTGGCATCTTGATGTTTTTGTCTCAGATGTTAATTTTCTTGGCCATTGCTAGGATGAAATTCTTTTTCTCTATCAAATTTGTGAGTGTTTCTTCTTGGATAACTGAATTAGTCCTTTTTTTCCTAATACTTAATTCTTTATTTCGCTTTGCATTCTAAGGTAAGTAAATGATTATTTTTCTTCTTGGCTCTTATAATTTTTGTATTGTTTAACTCTCCATTTTATAGTTGATATCCCTATTTCTTCGATTCTTTCTTAAAGTAATGCTCGTGTGTTTATTGTTATTCATCCAGAAACAACAGTAAAAGCTATAGAAGATGCATTCAAAGAGTTCACCGCAAGGGAGGATATTGCTGTTGTGCTGATTAGCCAATACGTAAGTGATTTGAACGGTTCCTTTCTTTGGTTAGTTCATATGTGCTTAAATATTGCTATTAGTCTATTCTAGGACTTTGGGCAATATATATATATATATATATATAATATTCTGTCACATGGTTATCTCTGTTCTCTGTTAAAAGGGAAAAATGTTTGTGGACACATAGTAAAAATGTTCTCTGTTTATTGACTACTAATTGACATGCACTTTATTGCCCCATTCAGATTGCAAGCATGATACGGTTTCTAGTTGATAGCTACAACAAGCCTGTGCCTGCGATCTTGGAGATTCCTTCCAAGGATCATCCGTATGACCCTGCTCATGATTCGGTTCTATCTCGAGTGAGATACCTTTTCTCTGCAGAATCAGTTGCCTCAGGAAGGCGCTGAAATGTTTGCTTGAACCACGCAACTAATCGATCTGTACTTCTCAATGGCCTGTCGTTTTTGTTCTTTGTTTTAATGTGTATAAGCTTCCATTCATTTCGGAGGAACAATTACTCTTTTGACTTTTGGAAGCATCACTATAACTGTATTGTCTCGAATATATGATGTCAACTTGGACATGAGCGGATCGATGTATAAAAGACCTCGATAAATAATCACAATTCCATAGTATATTAATTTATGTGGACATTTGTAACTACTAAATATTCTGGCCTGGTGGTGAGACATGTTGGCTGCAATGGAAGATGTTCATTGTTCTTGGACTTGCGTATGCATTGATCTTTTTAATCAGAATAATAAAAAATAAGAATAGCAGAAAAAGGAAAAAGAAATTTATCGAAAAGGTTTTGACTTATAGGAATGATTTTATTCGTAACAAAAAAAATGAATTAGATAAAAACATCGAAATTCCATAGACGAAGATATAGAAATTCCACCAACCATATGACATTGTGTATCGCTGGGGGGTCCTTATTCGTAAATACAGCTCATGGCATCGGATAAAATCCTGGTCTCTTCTTCCACTCCATCCCATCTCACGCTCCTTATCGCGCGCGCATCGTCTTCCCTTGGCGCACGAACCCTTCTTCTATGCGACGCGACGTGATGCGATGACCGTAGCTACCTTGGCGTGAGCAGCAGCGCAGGGGACCCCTGCCCTGGGCTCCGCGGCATCGACTTCTCGCAACGTCGCCCGTCAAGATGGAAGCCGCCCGCACTGTCTGCAGCGTTATTGGCGGCGGTTTTTTCCTCCCTTTCCCTTTCCCTCCTCGGCGGAGGAGCGTCGGGCGCCGCCCCGGCCTCCTCCCCGTTTTCCGCACCTCATCTAAAGACGGGCCGGAGCTCGACAAGTGGGACCAAATGGAGCTCAAGTTTGGGCGCCTTCTCGGCGAGGACCCTAAGCTTACCCTAGCTAAGGTAAAAAATCGATCAACATATAGGTGGTGCCGTTCGTTCTTCAATCTTGCTTGGGCTAGCATAGAAAACGGTTAGGGACTCTTGTAGGGTAATACAGTACTTATTTGGTTTGTTTTCTTGGATGCTATAGGGAAAACCTTTTGCCTAGGAGCGAGTTATCACTTGTAAATCATGACTCATGATCAAAAGGAATTCAGAATATTGACTGAATAACGTTATTTGTAGTGTTTAGTAGTGAACCCATTGAAGAAATTTATGTGCGCAGGGAACAAAAAACAAGCAAATAGTATTTGGCTTTTGAAAGTGAAAGTGGGAAGAAATTGCGCATCATTGTTTTTGCATCTTGATATTTTTTTTAGTCATCTTTCCTTTCTGTTAGGTGATTATTTCTTTGTTCCATATTATTATTTCCTTTTCATTTACCTTTCCTAAACAAAGGTTTTATGTTTGAATGCTTGAGTGTTTCTTTATTTTATTGCAATTTTCCTTTTTCCTTTTTGCTTGAGATAAATGAAACTTGTGCACCTGTCTGCAGATAATGGCAAGAAAGTCAAACCCTGATGTCTCTTATCTTGAAGTTGAAAAATCATTTAGAAGAAATAAAGGTAAGCTAGATGATTACATGATCAATGTTCCAGAAGACATGAGAGTGAAGCAACCACCTTCTGTTTCATCAAAAAAGGAAGATACATCAAACAAGAAGAATGCCCAAAATGTTACAGTGGAAGGACAAGTAAATCTTTCCCGTCCAACCATGAATAGAGGAATAAGAGCTATGAGACCCCCTGAAAAACCCACATCAATTCAGTCACAGCCAAACCAAATCCTAGGAGATACTGAAGACAGAAGCACAGATCCCAACATTTCTTTGCGAAAGCCCTCTATCACTCAAGATGATGATATTGAAATGAATTCAAAGTTAAAATTTAAACCAAACCTAGTCTTGAAAATGAGAAAAAATACTAGTGAAAACATAAGTAATGTATCCCTTCTAAAGAAACCGGAAGTTGTTAAAGTACCCTTAGGTTCTGAACAAGAGAGTGTGTCTTCTGGGAATTCTTCTCAGTCAAGTCTCACTGAAATGAGGGCCCCAGATAAGGATGTGAAGATCTTACATGAGGGAAATATGTCAATGAATAATACAGACTTGGTCACAACAGCAGCAAACTTGGATGAACTTCAAGTAACCGGCTTGGATGCATCTTCAAGCTCCAGTATGCCACTGGAAAATGATGTTATTGAAGGACATTTAGATGACAAGGATGCTGACATTTCAGATTCATCCAATCTTGATGATGGTGTGGTTGCAGGTAATATGCTAGCTTGCCTACTCATGTGCTCTGTATTAAGTTATGAATATTTATATTGCATTCAACTTTTCAAGGATTGCAGCCACCTAATCAAAGTGCTGCTGAAGCTAATGTGGCTGAAGCTTCATCTACACGTTTGGACAATGACTCTGCCGATGCTATTTCTATGCAAGCTGCCCTGCTAGGAAAGCCTCAGAGGTGGTTCACTGACTTGAACTTTCTGTTGTCCATTTCAATCATGACAGGCTTCTGACATGCTTTTTGTGGTCTTATCATGGATAGTGTCTTGTATGCTGTTCTATCCAAATTGGTATCTCTGTCATGACAGTATCCCACTTGGTACTCTCATTGGCGTATGTAACTTTATTTGAATTTTATGAAACATTATTTCCTTGTGCCTTCATGCATGATTTTACATTTTTTTGGCTGGTGTCATATATGGACGTGCAACGGTCATCTATTTACAGTCATATAAGCTACAGATACACTTCTGAGTACTTGAATTTTTTGGATAAAGTTTTTTTTTGTTTTCTTTTGTCTTATTGCAAATCCATATATTTGTTAACTGTGAAGTTAACAATCTTTAGGCTGGACTCGCCCTTAAAAGAAATGTCCCGTCCATTTAGAGAGGAGAAGATTGCTTTGCAGCATGATGGCCATGTTTCCACTTCTGGAACTGAGCCTGTTATATCAGCAGATCAAGAGGTAAATTGTTGCACATTGATTTTTCTTCATTTTGACTAAAGCATCCTTGCATACTTTTGGTTAAGAAAAGATCACATTAATAAATGTGATCTGATGAAGCTACAATAGTTGATGGAAAGAAGTTTGATGTACAAACCCCTTTGAAACTTGTGTAAAAGAGTTGGCTTAGATTTTGGAGATAGGAAATTGCAGGAAATTGAAGAAAGTGACTGGAAAAGGGCAGGGCATCTGCTGCATACAGGAGAGAAAGCTGAAGTGGAACTGATTAGTTGTAGCAGCAGAGGTTTTGTTGTGAGTTTGCCTAGTCTTTGTGAATTCATATATCTTTAATTTGTTCCCAAAATACTTTTCTAATTTTTATCGTTTTTATTATCAGGTATCATTTGGGTCTTTGATAGGTTTCTTACCTTACCGAAATCTTGGTGCCAAATGGAAATTCTTAGCATTTGAGTCATGGTTAAGAAAAAAAGGGGTGGATCCCTCCTTATACAGGCAGAATCTGAGCATTCTAGGAAGCTATGATGCTAGAAGTAAGGATCTTGGACTGGAGTCTACATCAGGAAAAGAAAATCAGAACAGTGAAGTGTCACCAACAAAAGTGAAATTCGAAGATCTTTATGAGGCATATGACCAAGAAAAAAACAAATTTCTATCATCATTCATTGGTCAGGTTTGAAGAACATGCTTAATTCATCAGATTTTAGTCCATTTAAATCATTGTTGTAATTTTTTTATTGCAATGGCTTACATCTGAAATTGCAGAGACTTAAAGTTTCTGTGATTCTGGCTGATAAAAACTCCAGAAAGTTAATGTTCTCTGGGAGGCCAAAAGAAAAGGAAGAGGTGGTTGAGAAAAAGAGAAGTCTTATGGTATGTAGCAACGTGATAAATCAATTGCTACTTATTTGTAGTTTCTCTTTGGTTAAGAAGCATGGAGCAAATTTAGTTGTCTGGGAACCTGGATCAAAGCTTTCCAGATTCCAGCTCACAAACTAGTCCAAAACATTGTTTCTATTATCAGGGTTGTTCTTGTGCTTGCTAAACTCATGCTAGGAGAGAACCTATTCATAATTTTATAGGCCTGAAATGTGAGGCATATTGTGAACCAAAGGATTTAAAGAATGGATACCAGGTACCAACAACCAACTACCAGCACAGCATATCACAGTATAGGATGAGGGCAAAGGTGAAAAGAAATTATATATATATATATATATACATATATACATATATATATATATATATATATACATATATATATATATATATATATATATACATATATATATATATACATATATATATATATATATATACATATATATATATATATATATATATATATATATACAGAAAAGGGTAAAGGAAGTGTGTTTATTGTTATCATTATTTGGGCAAAGGGATTGGGATCAGTCCAAAGGCAGGATCATTTTAGATTGTTATGAGATTTTTTTGAGATTGCAAAAAATCACTTACCAAGATGGTGTCTCATGGTTTTTCCTATAAATAATTCTTTTGGTCATTTATTTTGGTAACCTAGGTCTTTCTAAATATCCACAAGATGATAAGCTGTAATAAAGCTTTAGTTTTGTGAGTTCTCCTCTGCTCAAGTCACTGTTTTGGTTTCTCTTGCTTTCTAATACTTCGTTACTTAGGCCTAATTCCAAGTTCCCCTGGCAAATGTTGTTTTGGGCTTTTGATATATTCAGCCCAGCAAACTGTTCAACCTTTGTACATGTGGTCAGTGTCTTGATCTACTTGATAAAATTAAAATAAGAAGATAAACATTCTAGTTATTTTGTCATCATTACCTATGGTTTTACTTGGATATCATGAATTCATGGCTGTAAAGATGACAAATCTCAGTGATATATTATATATCACACACATACATGCATATATATTGTCTAATCCAGTAGGAATTATATATAAAGATTGGCTAAACTAACCAGCATTTTAGGTTCATCTCTAAATGTCAAGACATGATAAAACTCGACTTATTATGTTGAACATCATGAATTAATCCTTTTCTTTCTGCTTTTAAGAGTCAATGCCAATAGGATCCTTTGTTTACTATTTTTATGAAAGTGTTTGATGGTTTAGCTTTCTTTACCAGTAAGTAGGCTCCATGTTCTTATGTTTATAAATGGACTCTTGATATTCACTTCTGCTTTGTTTCGTGATTATTTGTCTCAGAAGACATTTGTTTTAATGCTTTGTCTTTTCTTGGTTGAACAGATCATGAATT